CTCCCTGAGTTTGCTCAGTTTCATGCTCATTGCTTCAGTGATGCTATCTAACCATCTCATCCTCTCCTGTCCCCTTTTCCTTTGGCCTTCCATGTTGCCCAGCATCAGGGCCTTTTCCAAAGAGTCCTCTCTTCGCATTAGGTGTCCAAAGTATCTGAGCTTGAGCTTCATTATCAATCCTTCCAATGAGCAGTCAGGGTTGATTTCCTATATCAACCCTGATATAGGATATATCAGGGTATATATTCCTATAGTCTTGGGTTAATCAAAACTTCTTGGCTTTGATTTCTGGTTTAGCGTGCAGCTACCTAACAGAGTACTCACAATATGTTCTCAACATCCTTCCCATCGGAGATGGGACATCTCTATTCCCAGTAATCTTAACTGATGGGCTCAAATGTTGTTCACTTGTAACACAAATCCCAGACGTTGTTCAAAATGTCCACCCAGATGTTTCTTGTTCATGAATGTGTCATCGGAGGTTTCTGTCAAGTAGTAGGCAGATGTTCGCCATCTCCTGTCTCTTTTAAGATGAAATAGCTTAGGATTTGCATTTTGTCTGACACCCACAATTGGTTTCTTTACAAGGGCTCCCGGAAGCTACTGAACTGCCAACCTAAAAACTAAAAATCTAATCAAAACAAACAATATCTCTATATTAGGATACTGGGCCCTTTACCCCAGCAAACTCTTTAAGTACTAAGTGTCTTTGTCTCTCCCTGACATTAATATCTCCGACCATCCCCAGATATAACCCCTACGAATCCTCAGAAACAACCTAAGAGAGTAACTGATAACCAATAGGATAGACTCACATATCACATTAACTATGGCTTGTTTAGCAACACTTTACTGAATAAGCCATAGCTGGCTGGGGCCATGCATTATGCATACCAGGATACAGCCAAGGGTTTATATGCATCCCATCATTTTTTGAAATGAGTTATCTGTTATGGTCCAATTTATATCATTTTGAAGTCTGTCCTTCTGCAGTGCATATCCCCTCTACTGCCTTAGACGTTCCTCCTTTGTTTATCCTGCGCTGTGTTCAATCCTTTAGCCTAGGAATATGGGACTCTACATATTTCTGGACTCCAATTCCCAGCAGCCCCATCCAGCAAGGCCAGTGATTAGGGAAGAGAGATGTCGTAGTCCAACCACAGGGAAGCCACCCGTGCCCCAGCCCTGTTTTCTTTGCTGTCCCTTCCCCTCTTTTGCTTCCTGTTACTTTAGAAAATGTGGGGACAAATAAAACCATCTTGAAGGAACAGCTAAATAAAACAGATCTGCTGTGGCGCCTAAAAGCTAAGGAGCTAAATGTGAATATAGTAAATTATTGACACCTTGGCCACAATGCTGATCATGGAAAATGATTATTTGACAGTTTTAAAGCATTTTATTTTCTAAATGCTGTACAGGGATTAGAGGATAATGTCATGCCTGCTAACAGACTTGCATTTGAATCCAGACCTTTTGGGAAAAGGAGAAGAAAATAAGCATTTTAGGCACCGATTCTTGGAGTTGCAGAATCTCTGGCTCCACTGATCGGGGCCCTAGGCCTCTGTGGCTGCATTCATACAACACAATTAACTTAATTGCTGATTTGGGTCATTTTCTGGGTGTGCACAATCAGTGAATCATAAATTAACCAAATGGACTGCTGGAGAACGTGTGAAGCCATGGGAATGGATCAATCCCGGAGGAAGAAATGGCGAAAACTGAAGATGGCTCTGCTGAGAGCTGAACCGATGACCGTGGTGGAATGAAGAATGGTGAATGGACTGACTCTTTGCGATTCCTCTCTGGACAAAGAGAAGACTGGGATTGCCCACAAGAGCTCCTGACCGCTGCTCCTCGCAGGGAGGCCACAAGATAGTGGTCTCTGGCAGGTTTAGAGGGCTGCAAGATGAGGGATTAGCCATCTTGCTCAAACCGTGGTCAGCACCTTTAAAAAGGATACAGAGTTTGCAAATTTCCTTTCTTAATCACTTTGGGAAATGGTTTGTTAACTGCTTTTTGGATATTAGGAACCTTCATAATGGCAAGTGTTCCTACAGTTAGGTGAGTTTCCTTCAATCCTTAGCGAAAGAAGTTTTATACAAGTTTAAGGACTTAAAAAAATTCTTTTTTTTTTTTTTTTTTGGAGCAAACAGCAAAAGGGTGATTAGAGTGTTGATTTTGGAAAGTTATAAATGGACATTTTCTTTACCCACGGCTGTCCTTGGCCTTTGAACAATATGCTGCAAGCCGGGACCCAAACCTAATCTGATTTAACTTGACTTACACTTAGATGGGATCAGAACTGAATTAGATTAATTCAGTTTAGTTCACAAGATTGCTCCTGGTGTCTTTAATTATTCCTGCTTCTGCTGAATTAAAAATACAATTTGAGGGCAATTTTTGGAAGGACTCTGGGGGCTGAACTCCAAGTTTCTGGTGGCCACTTGCATCTCTGAGATTTTGGGTTGAATACCCCTGCAGTAAGGGGGCAGACGCAAACAAAATAGCTCTTAGTTCCAGAGTTGGGTGTGCTTCATTCCAACTCTACTGTCCTAATATGACCTTGTCTTGTGGGAAAGAAAACTCAAATTTTGGAAACTGTCACCATCAACCTTGTTTTTTAGTGGGAGGAGGTTCTACACATTTATCAGGTGATGTCCAAGGGAAGAGTTTTATAGAACAGTTCTGGATCTCTCTGAAGCGGTTCCACTGGGTGATTTCTGAATTTTAGCATAAGAAGAACAAGCAAAAGGGTTTTTTTTCCTACCTGCTTCCTGCACACAACAAATCACTTATTAAATGCTCATGTTTTTTCTTTAAGTTCCAAATATCTTTCAGTCTTCCTGTTCTGTTGGGAAAATGCTCCGGCCTCATCAAAATCTGCATTATATTTCTGTCCCTTTCTTCCCCTCATTGTATATATTCCTGCACTGTCAGTTCTTTCAACGTTGCCATTTTCTGCTGATGCTTCTTGGCCTTCCTCTCTTCCATCTTTGTTTGGAAGAACAAAAAATCTTTCCCAAGTACATAGGCTAAGGAAATCATTGTTTCTAACAGGGGTATGTAGTACCGGTGACCGGGTTGTTTTTCTAAGCGCTGTAAAGCCCTTTCTCCAAATTCAAAGGCACTTTTGAAATTCTCCAGATCTTTGTGACATACAAGGATGGCACAGAGCGTGGGAACCAACAGAATGGGTCTATGCCTTGTGAGCTTCTCTTGCAAAGCTACAGCCTCCAGAAGACCTTCCAAAGCTTTGGTGTATTGTCCTCCTCGAAGGCAGCTGTAGGCCTCTTCCAGCTCAGGCCTTGTTAAGAAGTCGATAAACATTCGAGATGACCTGATGAACTCCATGGAGTAGAGAAACCGCAGATAATCCTGGAAAGCTAGCTTTCTCTCCATTATGACTTCATCCATGAAATTGCCAGTCAGGATTTTTTTGGGAAAGGCAAGGTCTTCCATTTCATCATAAAATTCTTTCAATAGGCTTGTGTGCAGCTTTTCAAAATCAGAATACCGACGCTCAATCACTGATACGTTGCTGTCAAAGCTGCCGGTCTGGATTATGATGATTTGGTACTTCTGGCAGGGACACACAAGCAAAATATTTTAGGAATGTCAGATAGAAAAGCAGAGTCAGTCAACTGGAAGTTACCCTGAGCATGGGTTGCATTTCTACATTACTTTGAATGTTTGTGTTTTTGGATTAGCACAATATTCAGGCTCTCATCATGGTGTATGGTTTAAAGTTACATGTTAACTTAAGTCCTGTGGTTTATTCAACAATTCATGATCAAAGTAATCATGGCTTAGTACTTTGTGTGAATTGCTGGGTCACACATAATGCTGTACCATAATCTTTGGTTTATAACCACACAGCCCGGAGTCCTACACTGCTCAAAACCATGATGCTTGTGCTAAGGTGTAATGTAGCTTAATCCAGTAATTGCTGTAATCATTATGTTTGTGGCTTATAATGTTATGTCAGCCTAGTCATTGTATTCATAACTGTGATTTAGTGCAACAAGTGAAACCATCCAGTCCTATGGATGTTATTAGAGTTAGGGTTAACTGAACCAATGAAATGGGGAGAGGAATTATTTAGCTAGAGGTCTCAGCAATCTTATGTCAAGACAGATTACTTCAAGCATTAGGCTGCTGCTGCTGCTGCTTCATCATCATCATCATCATCATCATCATCATCATCATCATCATCATTTTGTATTTTAGCTTACCACATATTTAGAGAAAGGCTTCTCTACAATTTTGGCTGATGGGATTTCAAAAAGCACCTTCACTTCTCGGCAGTTTCGTTTCTCATTCCGCCAGTATTCCTGAAGTTCTTTAGTTGTCATGGAAGAGTTGGGACTTTTCTCACCTAAAATAAGGTCATTGATTATAGAAAGTGTACTGATTTAGAATCATGGCATGGATAGTAAACTTTCCATTACCTTCCGATCACTGAAATAACTTTAACGTGGGATGCTAGGGGAAGTTTCATA